ATTTGGGGGAGATGGTTGGGAGATGTCCAGGTAATCTCCACGCCGGAATGTAACATTGAGAAGGAAGAAAACAAAGTAAGAGAGGATACAGCCGTGGGTATGAGAATGGACGTAAGGAGGAAGGGTAGTGAAGATACCAGTCTAATAGGTGATACTGGCGGTAGAATGTCTGGGCCTAATCGGGTAAAGAATGTCAGTGAAGCCAAACGGCAAAAATTAAGATGTTTGTGCACTAAAGCCTAGGTAACAAAATGGAGAAACTAGAGCTACTGGTGCAGGAAGTGAAACTAGATATTATAGGGATAACAGAAACATGGTGGAATAGTAGTCATGACTGGAGTACAGGTATTGAAGGCTATGTGCTGTTTAGGAAAGACAGAAATAAAGGCAAAGGTGGTGGAGTAGCATTGTATATCAATGATGAGGTAGACTGTAAAGAAATAAGAAGTGATGGAATGGATAAGACAGAGTCTGTCTGGGCAAAAATCACATTGGGAAAGAAAGCTACTAGAGCCTCCCCTGAGATAGTGCTTGGGGTGTGCTACAGACCGCCGGGATCCAATTTGGATATGGATAGAGACCTCTTTAATGTTTTTAATGAAGTAAACACTAATGGGAATTGTGTGATCATGGGAGACTTTAACTTCCCAGATATAGACTGGAGGACAAGTGCTAGTAATAATTATAGGGCTCAGATTTTCCTGGATGCGATAGCTGATGGATTCCTTCACCAAGTAGTTGAAAAACCAACAAGAGGGGATGCCATTTTAGATTTGGTTTTGGTGAGTAGTGAGGACCTGATAGAAGAAATGGTTGTAGGGGACAACCTTGGTTCGAGCGATCATGAGCTAATCAAGTTCAAACTAAATGGAAGGATAAACAAAAATAGATCTGGGACTAGGGTTTTTTATTTTAAAAGGGCTAACTTTAAAGAATTAAGGAAATTAGTTAGGGAAGTGGATTGGACTGAAGAACTTGTGGATCTAAAGGTGGAGGAGGCCTGGAATTACTTCAAGTCAAAGTTGCAGAAACTATCAGAGGCCTGCATCCCAAGAAAGGGGGAAAAAATCATAGGCAGGAGTTGTAGACCAAGCTGGATGAGCAAGCATCTCAGAGAGGTGATTAAGAAAAAGCAGAAAGCCTACAAGGAGTGGAAGATGGGAGGGATTAGCAAGGAAAGCTACCTTATTGAGGTCAGAACATGTAGGGATAAAGTGAGAAAGGCCAAAAGCCATGTAGAGTTGGACCTTGCAAAGGGAATTAAAACCAATAGTAAAAGGTTCTATAGCCATATAAATAAGAAGAAAACAAAGAAAGAAGTGGGATCGCTAAACACTGAGGATGGAGTGGAGGTTAAGGATAATCTAGGCATGGCCCAATATCTAAACAAATACTTTGCCTCAGTCTTTAATGAGGAGCTTAGGGATAATGGTAGGATGACAAATGGGAATGAGGATATGGAGGTAGATATTACCACATCCGAGGTAGAAGCCAAACTCGAACAGCTTAATGGGACTGAATCGGGGGGGCCCAGATAATCTTCATCCAAGAATATTAAAGGAACTGGCACATGAAACTGCAAGCCCATTAGCAAGAATTTTTAATGAATCAGTAAACTCAGGGGTTGTACCGTACGACTGGAGAATTGCTAACATGGTTCCTATTTTTAAGAAAGGAAAAAAAAAGTGATCCGAGTAACTATAGGCCTGTCAGTTTGACATCTGTAGTATGAAAGGTCTTGGAAAAATTTTTGAAGGAGAAAGTAGTTAAGGACATTGAGATCAATGGTAATTGGGACAAAATATAATATGGTTTTACAAAAGGTAGATCGTGCCAAACCAAGCTGATCTCCTTCTTTGAGAAGGTAACAGATTTTTTTAGACAAAGGAAACGCAGTGGATCTAATTTACCTCGATTTCAGTAAGGCATTTGATACGGTTCCACATGGGGAATTATTAGCTAAATTGGAAAAGATGGGGATCATTATGAAAATTGAAAGGTGGATAAGGAACTGGTTAAAGGGGAGACTACAACAGGTCATACTGAAAGGTGAACTGTCAGGCTGGAAGGAGGTTACTAGTGGAGTTCCTCAGGGATCAGTTTTGGGACCAATCTTATTTAATCTTTTTATTACTGACCTTGGCACAAAAAGTGGGAATGTGCTAATAAAGTTTGCGCATGACACAAAGCTGGGAGGTATTGCTAATACAGAGAAGGACCGGGATATCATACAGGAAGATCTGGATGATCTTGTAAACTGAAGTAATAGTAATAGGATGAAATTTAATAGTGAAAAGTGCAAGGTCATGCATTTAGGGATTAATAACAAGAATTTTGTTTATAAATTGGGGACACATCAATTGGAAGTAACAGAGGAGGAGAAGGACCTCGGAGTATTGGTTGATCACAGGATGACTATGAGCCGCCAATGCGATATGGGCGTTAAAAAAGGTAATGCGGTCTTGGGATGCATCAGGCGAGGTATTTCCAGTAAAGATAAGGAGGTGTTAGTACCGTTATACAAGGCACTGGTGAGACCTCATCTGGAATACTGTGTGCAGTTCTGGTCTCCCATGTTTAAGTAGGATGAATTCAAACTGGAACAGGTACAGAGAAGGGCTACTACGATGATCCGAGGAATGGAAAACCTGTCTTATGAAAGGAGACTCAAAGAGCTTGGCTTGTTTAGCCTAACCAAAAGAAGGCTGAGGGGAGATATGATTGCTCTTTATAAATATATCAGAGGGATAAATATCAGGGAGGGAGAGGAATTATTTAAGCTTAGTACCAATGTGGACACAAGAACAAATGGATATAAACTGGACATTAGGAAGTTTAGACTTGAAATTAGACCAAGGTTTCTAACCATTAGAGGAGTGAAGTTCTGGAACAGCCTTCCAAGGGGAGTAGTGGGGTCAAAAGACATATCTGGCTTCAAGACTAAGCTTGATAAGTTTATGGAGGGGATGGTATGATGCGATAGCCTAATTTTGGCAATTAATTGATCTTTGATTATTAGCAGGTAAATATGCTCAATGGTCTGTGATGGGATGTTAGATGGGGTGGGATCTGAGTTACTACAGAGAATTCTTTCCTGGGTGCTGGCTGGTGAGTCTTGCCCACATGCTCAGGGTTTAACTGATCGCCATATTTGGGGTCGGGAAGGAATTTTCCTCCAGGGCAGATTGGCAGAGGCCCTGGAGGTGTTTCGCCTTCCTCTGCAGCGTGGGGCACGGGTCACTTGCTGGAGGATTCTCTGCACCTTGAGGTCTTTAAACCACGATTTGAGGACTTAAATAGCTCAGACGTAGGTTAGGGGTTTGTTACAGGATTGGGTGGGTGAGATTCTGTGGCCTGCATTGTGCAGGAGGTCAGACTAGATGATCACAATGGTCCCTTCTGACCTTAAAGTCTATGAGTCTATGAGATATTCTTGCATTTACTGTGAGGCGAAAACATCAAATTCTATCTGTTTCTGTCACTGACTTCCTTTGTTCACTCCTTAGTCTTTGTGTGGCCCCCCTTCTTCTCTGTTGTTTTTTTCTTTGAGCTGTTCACGTCTTCCAGAGTCACCCTATTCTCTCATGGAATAATACATTATTGGATGGGCATGTGTGACAGAGGTCATCTGATAAGTGCTTTTCAAAGGCAGCAATTTATTCCTAAGCCTGTTGCTACCATCTCTTTCATGAGGAGAAAGGCTCCATTCACTAGTAAATGCTCTTTTCATAGTACAAACAGAACCTTTCTGAATGATCACAGCATACTTAAGAAAGAAGGTAGCAATATTGTATTTTCCATACCATTAGCAGTTCCAATATTTTGAAACTCTATTAATAAAGCTAAAGACCTCAAAAAGAAACTTGCCTATAAAATATTACAATTAGCCTGCTATGTCAAATAGAAATGATGTATGCATATTACATTGTAAGGGTCATTAAAATGATCTCTTGTCTGAATAGAGTGTGACTTGCATATGTCTGCATTTATATGTCTGTTCTCTAGAGTCCATAGTCTCACAAAGCAACCTTTTCATTTCTGTATTCCAGAGCTTGCTGGAAATGGTACTCATTTGCTTAATTGTTAGACTTTTTTCCTATTATATTTTGTTTTTTGTTCTACATTTTTTTATTCTGGTGTAATAAAAGCTGAAGGGAGAAGGAGTGAGACCTTCAGGAGCAGGGCCGGCTCCAGGCACCAGCAAACGAAGCGGGTGCTTGGGGTGGCCAATGGAAAGGGGCGGCACGTCCAGGTCTTCGGCGGTAATTCGGCAGCGGGTCCCTCAGTCCCTCTCGGAGCGAAGGACCTGCTGCCGAATTGCCGCTGAAGAATGAAGCGGCGCGGTAGAGCTGCCGCCGAAGTGCTTTATCTTTTCTTTCGTTTCCCTTCGCCGTTTGGGGCGGCAAAAAAGCTGGAGCTGGCCCTGTTCAGGAGATGCAGGAGGTTCTAACAGGTAGACAGAAAGACTTAATATAATTCACTAGACAATATTATTATTCACATCTCTGGCTGAAGAAAGGGGCCTTAGTGTAAATGAGAATCAGGCCCATGATATCACGTTTAGATTATAAAAAAAGGTGAACAGGTTTGATCCAACAAGTTCATGACAGCAAAGCCTTATAACATCTGAGGGGAAATATTTTCAGTATTTTTATGGTGCTTTAAACAAAAAATGCAAGAACCTTTTCTGGGGTTGTATGTATTGTGTTTGAATGCTGAAGACACTCTGGCAGGAGGTGGTTTGTACAGATACTCTCCAGTTTCCGATCTGAAAGGAATGTTTGGATACCTGTCAGTTATTGTATAATGCTGTAGTGTCACTGTGGCCTCTTTGCCTGCTTCCTCTCCTTTGGGTGAAAGATAATTTTTGTACCAGTGCAAGCACCTGAGAGTAAACCAAATGTGTTGCTTCTATGTGGTCAGTGGGATGACTTGTAAATGGTGGCCAGGCGGTAGCTACAGTACTTAGACTAAAGAATGATCCCGTCTCTGATTCCCAGGTAACGTGTTACACCTTAAGCAGCAAGTGCCAGCTGAGAGTAAAGAGCAATACATGCTATTGCTGTGACCTGTACAATTGTGAAAAGTAAGTACATGCTCTATCAGAATGTGTATGTTTATTTGTACACTATGTGTATTCTAGAGTACAGACCCTTTGCATTTAGGCCAGTATCCTGGGAATCAGCACACAGCTGGCTAGCAGGCTGTGCACTGGTGATAACCCTGTGAGAAGGCACATGAATGCTCCCCACCCCAAACTGCAGAGCCAGTGCATGGCCAAAAAGCTGCAATAGCACCCACATTGCCTGCAGCACCCTTCACATAATACAAATAGCCCCCCTGCATTCAGCCGCACAGTAGGTCCCTATGGTGAGGTCTGTACTGCACAGGAGTGTGCATTCCCCTGATCCTGTTCTCCCTTCCCCATGGACATGTAGGATAAACTGTCTCTGGGGGCCCTGCTCACAGTGGAGATGGGGACATGGTTTGCCCCTCAGTGCTCTTATTATTTCAGTGGGTTTTCTTTAAAAATTGTCCGTAGGATTTTGTTATGTGGCCACCTAAATAAATAAATAAATAAAGCACAACCTTGTAAAGACTCTTTGGTGAGCTTGCATTACAATTTTCAAAATGGATTTCATGTGATCATTTGTTCACTGATCTCTGGGAGCAAAATTAATGGAAATATCGTTTCCATGTCAAAACTGTACATCATAGGCAGGGCCTTGGCGTTTTCACAAGCATTTATGTGCTCAAGGGATTTTAATCAATGGCCATGAGGATAGGTACAGTATAAAGGAGAATGTTGATCATATTTCCAAAAGATTTCCATTTTAAGTCAATCTAACCAAAACACAGGCTGAGAAGATATAACCGTGGAAGTGCATGAATATGCTAGTCAAGTAACAGTAGGTGACTACATCAGCCCTTGGAGAGAGGCTAGCCCAAGATGAGCTCAGAGTGGTGGTGCAGCAGGCTGATATGGCCTCCCCTACCTGGCAAATAACACTATTGCCAAACAAAATAAACTCATGAGATTTATTTCCAGCCTGAAATCCCTTTCCAGTGCCTTCCTTATTGCACACATGTACGTCAGTACCATTGCAAGCAGCATCATGTTGTGTAAAGAGCAGGAAACTCTTAGGAAAATCTCCTGGGGTGGGGTGGGGCTGGTAGGGAAGGGGGAGATGCTGGCTCTTGTGCTTTCTGTGTACCAGCTGGAAAGTGCTATTTCACATTTTAGTGTCACACACCCTAGATTGACCTCCTGAACCCCCCCAGGTTCACATCAGAGCTCTCATTTTTTGTTTTTACCCATGCCTGCAACTCTGAATGACCCAGCCCTCCTCAAACCTAGGTTGGCACATACGGGAATTCCAAAAGTCATACAAGTTTGGGAGAAGGTTTTCAGTGAAACTGGCAGAGAAACGGACAAATATGTTTTGCTTTTGCAAACTCCCCCCCGCCCCCCAAAAAACAACAACAAAACATTTTGTTAAGCTTTACTTCCCTGAAAGATTAAAGTGAAGTTTGGGACTAGAGGGAGATACGAGTTTCCCCAGAATGCTAGAGCAGTGGATGAGTTTCTGGGGTTCAGATTTATAGAACCAATTTGACAAAGTCAAAGCCTGGATGAATGCTTTTCTTTCCTTGCCTATGAGATGCTAAATCGAACTGCCATGGTATGTCTGCTACTGATCAGGTTAGTGCCATCTGTACTTTTGTAATTTTAGTGAAAGCAATTTATTCACTCATCCTAGTGTGTGTATGTTTTATTTAACCTCACACTTAGGGTTTTCAGGAAGTGGTTTGGCCTGGTTAGAGAGGTGAGAAATAAGAGGGTAACAATAGAGGTGCACAAAATAATGCATGGCATAGCAAAGGTAAATTAGACCGTCCTATTCACCCTTTTTATAGTATAAGAACAAAGGGAAATCCACCTGAATTGAAAGGGGATATATTGAAACTGGGAATATTTTCTTAACAAGACATAATTAATGGTGAATCTCACTGCTGCAAGGTAACATTGACTCCAAGAGGTTAGCAGGATACAACACAGAATTGATCCTTACATGGATAAATAGAACATCCACAGTTATGGGATAGAGTGAAAAATATAAGGGATTGAAAGTTAACCCTTTTGCTTCCGGGCATGAACCGCTAACTGATAGAGGCTTGGAAGAAACTCCCCTGTAGGCAGCCCATGGAGCCTGTACATTATGGGCCTTCTTGCACCTCCCTGTGAAGCACCTAGTACTGGTCACCATCCAAGACAGGAGATGATTTTATTATCTATTTATATTGTGATAGTGCCGAGAGACCCCAACCAAGATCAAGGCCCCATTGGGCTAATCAATGAACAAACAGAGACCATCTCTGCCCTAAAGGCTTTAGCTGTTTTGCCTGTGCAGATTGTACAGGGTGCAAGGGAAAACAGGCACAGAGAGGTGAAGAGCTAGATTCACAAAGGTGCTTAGGCACTTGCGTTCAACATTTAGGCATCATGGACGTTCTCAAAGCCATGGCTCAGCTACCATCTCATTCTAAAGTCCCCAAAGCACCTACGTTTCTGCCCGCAGGCATGTGCAAAGCCATTTCAGTCCCAGTGCTCAGACCATCCCTGTGGGCTAGGGCTTTGCACAAAAGCCAGTCTGTGGGGGTGCAGAGGGGTGTGTGTCCCAGAATGCCCAGTAAGCTGGTGGTTCAGAAACTCACCTGGGAGGTGGAACATCTTAGGTCGAATCCCTGCTCTCAAGCAGGCGCTTGAACACAGGTCTCTCACCGCACAGGTGAGTGCTCTGACCGCTGGGGTGCTGGATATTCTGGGGCGGGTCTCTCAGTCTCTCCTGTTGGAGCTGTTCTACTTCATAGAATCAATTAAATATTTAGATTTATCAATAGCAATTAAGGATGCCATTAGGCAGCAGAGCACCTAAGTACCTTTGTGAATGTGACCAGTGCTAAGGGGACCATTGGCTTTATCTGCTATGGTGATTGATGTCTACGATGGGGTGTACTGACCACAGCAACAGGTGGTGTGCTGCCACAACTATGCACCGCAGCAACAGGTTTGTTATTTATATAAATACTCAGAGCTGGCTTGGATCTGCACAGGAGCACTTTAGGTTTCTCCATGCCTTCCCATTCTCCTTAGCATTTTCCCTACCCAGCATCCCCAGTTGCACTCCATGAGCCTCACTGGAACTCAGAGCAAAAATTTCACAGGACACTCTTCTCTGCCTTTCATCAAAATGTCCCCATGGTGAAGGGAAGGGCTTCGGAGGTAGCACACATATCCCTAGAGCAAGCAGGCAGAAACTCTCTCCAGCTGAGATAGCTGGTATGGAAGTGGGTGGGTGGGGAAGTGTTACTACTCGGCAGTTGTGTTTGCCTTGTGTTTGCAAATAGAATAGCAGGGTGTTTCAAAACATGGGATCTGGTTTCTCCAAATACCACACAGTACACAGACTCTGCAGCAAACAAAGCTTGGGTTCATAATTTGCCTGGTTTGTAATAGCAGTTGCTATGTATGAATGTAAAATATTATTTCTAGATAGCACAATCTGCAATTTGAAGAAACATCTTTTTGATATCCATTAGGTCCTGAATTGTGTTGCCTCTGTCAGTTTGAAACCACAGACACTATGCAAATGTAGCTAGTTAGTAAAATCTCCCTTCCCTGTTCTTGGATTCACTTCTTAAGCAACATGCACATTCGACAAGGATCTTTGAAGCAATGCTTACAGGTGAACTAAGGAGGAAGCTGTGCTAGTCATGTTTTAGCTGGTAGCTGCTCTCAAACACATTACTAAGAGTGCCTGCAAATTAGAAATGTAGCATCACCTATTCGTGCCGTAGCTATGCTAGAAAATTGTACCAAAAAATCCCCACATGTGCTAATGCTTGTCAGCTGAATGAGGGGTAGCACTGGGGGCTCCCCTAGCATGGCCATTGGTAGCTTTATTTTTTGTTAAACCAGTTTAATTTGACATAGTGATTAAAAAAACAGGTCATGCTGCAGAGAATCTATACCAGAACTCCCAGAGGGTTAGCTGAGCAATGTTAGCTCCTGTGGGAATGTTTGTGTACAATTTCCTCGTTCAGACAGGGCTGGGCTACTTGCTCTTGCTTCAGCTATTTTGCCTGAGAAAAAATTAAACATTTTAGGATTTAGCTGGGCTGGTGCTCTGTAAATCGCGGATGTAGTAGTGACACCATTTCTATCCCATTGCAGTTCAGAACAGTCAACCAGCTACTACGAGTTTCTTGGAGTGAACAGCTGTCAGGATGTGGTTCACTTGTACCGGCTGCTGTGGGCCTCCACAGTCCTGAACATCGTTGGATTGTTTCTTGGGATAGTCACGGCAGCCATACTTGGGGCCTTTAAAGATATGGTAAGACTTGCAAGTCCTGCAGCTTTTCATCAGTGGTGATTTCTGTATGTTGCTAATTATCCTGTTACCTAATGTGTTAAAAAAATAGACAGCAGAACCATACACAGCAAGTGCTCACAAAATGTTTCCTGCATGAGCTTTGAGTTCTTGGACTGTGCTCTGGCCAGGTGTTATAGCTAAGTAGCGTCAGGCCTGGTTAATACACGTGTACGTAAGAAGCTGGCATCTGTAGCAAGTCATGTGGGTGGTTCAGTAAGTGGCCTCTTTTTTCTGAGTCAGCACTGAACCATTGGCCCAGCATGGTGCTAGAAGGTGCCAGTTTGGTGCAGGTGGTGCCAATTTAATAGATATATGAAACCGAGGTGCTAACCACTTGTGAATATTAAAGATTGTGATTGTGTTCCAAAGAGCAGGGATTAGCTCTGGGGTATCAGCCAGGTTCTGATGTGAACTATTACATTCTGCTAACCTAAATCCCCTTTTTGGTTTCCATAAGAGATGCTGTTCTTCTTCCCTGCCTCAGCCTGCCCTAACCTGCTGTGCAGTGGTGGTGTGTGAGGACAGTAGCTGCTGCGCTGTGCTGAAGAGGTGGCTGTGATTAAGTGTGGATAAAATGATTCCAAAATACATGGCTGTATGTTCCTGGCTGTTCTGCAATGGGGAGCGGCTCAAACCCAGGTTACTGTGATTACACGGGGCTAGGGAAACAGCACAGATGGAAAAGACATGCTTCCTCCCTTCCCCTCAGGAGCAGCCACCACCACAGCAGTGTTTACTTTACAATATTCATAAGTCTTTGGGGTATCACTTGCCAAAAGCAAGAGGAGGGTGGAGGGACCAGGGAGCATTGCGTCCAGCAAAGCGGCCTTCATTTAGCTGCAAAAGACCATGCATAAGTTAATGTTGCTTGTCGCCACATTAATTCCTGGTGTGCATCTTCTGTGGCTCAGTAGGGGCCAGGACTGATTCAGACAATGCTGGTCAACCTGTAGCTACAGAGGCCCCTGCCTAAAGGGCAGGTTGAAACAGTGATGTGATGTTTGCCTTTGCTGCGTGATGGGGAGTGTAAGCTATTTTGTGTGGAACTGGGGATGGGGGAGGAGCTGGGGCTGGGGGTGGAGTTGGTCTGGGGGCGGAGAGGGCCTGGAGGTGGAGCAGTACTGGGGGCTAAACGAGGTTGGGGGAGGAGCTGCGTGCCCCCCCCGAATGTTCCTCCACACCACCCTAGGGGGGCACGCTTCACAGTTTGGGGACCACTGCTTATAAAATATATTCCTCCTGTTCCGGCACAACCACCCCATGTGCTTCTTCAGCAAAACACACACAGGAAAACAAGCGATCAGTTAACTAACTCTGTGTCATGATTCAGGGCTTTTAGAAACATTTTATTATAGCAGGGCCATGTGAGTTATTTTAAAAAAAAAAACATCGTTAAGAGGCTGCACAATGTACACCAGTACACAATTGCCCTCCTACACTCGGCCATTTTGCACAAGCAATGTGCAAACACGCAGCAGAGTATCGTTTACTCTGAGGCATGAGGGGGACTTGGTGACTCAAGGGGACGTGGTATGAAGAGTGTTCCCACAGTGCCGGTAATGAAACACAGCCATCTAGTAATGAACAGCCTGTGCCTCCTTTCCTGAAGGGAGAACAAGCTGCTTTCCAGTGTTACTCATGTTCCATAGACACACATGGGGAAAGGGCACATGTGAAAATGAGCGGGTAGAACAGGAAGGAGAAGAATCAGGAGATTGCTGAGCAGAGGGGAGAATTACAGAGCCAATTTTAACTAATGCTGACACAGCCCTTCTGCTTCATTCTTCTCCTGGTCTTCCCTTTTTTTGTCTCTACTCTTCCCTCTTACTTTGGAAATGACTGAGATGTTGCTTTTCCTGGGTCCCTGGGCCAGTAGCTTTGTTCAGGCCAGTCTCCTGCAATGGTCAAGATTTATCTGAAACATAGTGATCAACCACATTGGATCCATTTTAAATGTCCTGCTGTGTGTGTGTTAGGTTTGACTACTACCCATTTCAGCTCTTGTCAGCTTCTACTCCTTGGGATACATTAGCTAGGGCAAAGAGGTGAAAGGAGGAAGCCTTTTCAGTACTTCCCATTGGGTGGTGGTGTGTCTAGTACCAGATTGTTGTGAAGTCTTTTTCTCTTCTGAAGCCCTCACTTGATCACTTTGTGAGCACCACTGTTACATCAAGAATTAAATTTCCATCTTTTTGGAGACTGAGACATCACCTCAGTCTTCTACCCAGCACAGGAAATCTCCAATTTGTTTCTGTAACATCTGCTGTGGGTGCTCTGAAGGACAATGGCTGCATTACTAAATGCTATAAAGATACATTTAATTTTAACAACACATTTCTCCAGGCTAGCAGGGCTGCTGTGGGCAGAGACACAATGTACAGATGCAGATAAGTAATGGGAAGGCGGCTTATAAACCTTACAAGGCAGGTTAAAAGGTAATTAAATTAAATAAAGCTTTACCAAAACCAATAGGAGTTGTGAATGCTCCTCTGAGAATTAGGTGATAATGGTGAAATCCACCCCTGTGCAGAGGGCCAACACAAGGCTTATACAACACATAAATCCCACTTTTACTTAAGCTAAGGCTTAAAGGGGAATTTAGGTGTTGCATAGACCTTGGACTGGTCTTTTGCTCCAGAAATACTCTTTGGGGTGAAACTCATCCCTCTGCAAGCATTGATTTACTATCACTGCTCATGAGGGATGCAAAGCTATTGAAATGTTCCTACAAGAAACAGAATAATTGTGACCAAGTTTCATACCCTCACACATCACAATATGCTGGAAAGGCTGAGCTTGCATTTACAGATTTGGGCACTCAGGCCAAGCAAGCATCCAAGCAGCAAAAAGCAATGGAATGAAACTACAGCAGCGGTCATGCAACATCATCTCAGTGTGGGGCAAGTTTGTTCAGCTCCTGACAAAGCTGAGGAAATCAGAGAGCTGCTTAAGTTTCCTCTGCAGCAGGTGCGGAGGGGTGGGAGTGAGCACTTTATCTGCTTACGACTAAATCTGTGTAAATCACCACAAGCATGTGTTAAACAGAGAAACCCCACAACAGTGTCAAACGTTATAAAAATCAATAATAGAACTCCTGTTATTCACTACAGCAAATGATTTTCCAGTCTCCTTTTGGGCAACCTACACTATCTGGTTTACTGATTTGCTACTTTATTTCACTAGCTGTGTATCAATAAACAGCTGTTAGGATACTGGGGCCTCAGAGAACACAAAGTTCGGCAAGGAAAGGCATGCAAAAGGGCATGGGGTTGATATAAAAAAATAAAATTTGGGGTGAGAGAATCATAATCATCTGTTTTTTCATGATGTAATCTTCTCAGAAATACCACAGGCATTGTGAAGGTTTATATAGAAATTGTCCTTTACAGTTCCTGAGGGCATTTCTTTAAGGATGAAATCTAAAAGAGACAGCGAGGATGTCTAGTAAAAATCATGTGTAGCTTAGGGGAGTTATAGCTACCAGTGATAGCTATGGTGGTGTGAGAATGAGCTGAAAAACAAAGTGCAATTGCTTTGAAACCCATCAGATTTTCCTGCACAGAAAATAATATTTTGTCTTCCAAAAATTGGAACATAGTTGCTTCTGGTGCATGAGTTTCTGGCACAGTGGTTTTAAAAGTTTTCACAGAGATTGTGGTGAGAAGGACCAACATATGTAGCATGTGACAAGTAAAGAAGTTGGCTAACTGCAATGAATACCAATAGAATACCCGTGTTTCATGTTGCTGTTGAAAAAATGTGTCTGTCTTGGTTTATATCAACGGATCGGTAAGTCTCAGCCTACATTTCATGCTTCATTCTGATTCACGGCTGAGCCACATTCTGACATGACATGTATTTCTTCAGCTTGAAAGGCCTTACTCTCATTAGCTTGTTCTCACTATTTCTCTGGAGTAGGGGATGTCTCTCTGTTCCACACTTTCCTTTCTCCAGCCATGGAGGAAGAGAGGCCCAGCTCCACAAAGATATTTAGGATCTGGGCCAGAAGCATTGGCAGTTCTGTCTTAATGTACATGTTTGTATTAGATGTCTATAAAACTCATGTTAATTAGAAAAAAACACCCCCAGACAGCTTAGCTACATGTTGAAATTCACCTGGAACAGGGCTTAGTCGACTGTTTTTTCTGTTGAAACCAATGGGAGGATGATCCTTGCAATTTCAATAAAGTGATTTCACAGGGACATGGCTAGCTCCATGCAATAAGCTCAGAGTCAGCCCCTTCCATAGAAACACCCAGTAAAGTTATTACTGTAATTACATTTATGTATTTTTATTATTTCTATATAATTATGTATCGATCCAACATTTGATAGAAAATCATTCTTCTTATGTCCCATGTTATGTGTTAAGCACTGACATGGGACTTGGTGTTACACAAAATCCAAAGGAAGCCTTCAGCCCCATCATCGTGGAAATGTTTGTAGGTGCCACCTTCCCAAATCAGCGTGAATGTGAACTTGTAGACGTTTCCTCACTTAGGCCTCACAGACCTCACAGGAAGGGGGTTGGAGTGCACAGTGCGGGAGGGGGCTCAGGGCAGGGTTGCAGAGTGCGGGAGGGGGCTCAGGGTGCAGGAGGGGTGCAGGGTAGGGCAGGGTGTTGGGGTGCAGGCAGGGGGCTCAGGGCAGGGGGTTGGGGTGTGGGGTACAGGGGGCGTTCAGGGTCCGGGCTCCAGCCCGGCGCCACTTACCTGGAGCAGCTCCAGGGTGGCAGTGGGGCTAAGACAGGCTCTCTGCCTGCCCTGGCCCTGCGCCGCTCCGGGAAGCGGCTGGCACCACATCCCTGCGGCCCTGGGGGAGGGGGGGCAGAGGGCGCCGTGCATTGCCCTTACCTGTGGGTACCTCCCCCGAAGCTCCCTTTGGCCGTGGTTCCCCGTTCCTGGCCAATGGGAGCTGCGGGGCAGGTACCCACAGGCAAGGGCAGCGCACGGAGTCCTCTGCCCCCCCCCTTCCCCTGGATGTAGTGCCGGCCGCTTCTGGGAGCAGCACGGGGCCCATGACACCACTTGGGTGGCAATCCCACAGGCCAGATCCAAAGCCCTGAGGGGCTGGATCCAGGCCATGGGCCGTAATTTGCCCACCCGTTTTACATGTACAGAAACTATTAGTAAAGCAGCAGCTGAATCCTGACCCATATGTCACCTTTGCAAGATGTGATGATTTGCTAGGTTAATCTTAAAGGAACCTCCAGAAAAACACTGGCTACTCATTGGATCAGGCCCATGCGGGTAGGGAGACAACAAAGGGGTTCTGGAGTAAGGAGTGCTGCAACAGTGTCTTCCGTGGTTGAACAAAGGTGGTGGGAGGCCAGGCCAGGAATAGCAAGTGCTAGAAAGGGTATGTGCCACTGCATGTGTCTCAAGAGCAAGAGGGGAAAAAGCCTTATAGCATCAGTTCATTTCTGCTACTGCAGAGTGAGTGCAGCAGCATGCTTGCTCAGTGATGGCAAGAAGTAGGGATATTATGTGCCTGGAGAAGTGGAAAATTGTGGGGTTAGGGGTGCTTTTGGGGGAAGAGGTCAAGGCTGCCCTCCCACATGCTTCATGGGTTCTAGGCTTGGTGCTTCTTGGGCTGGAGTCCTGCCCACTGCATCGTCATCAAGGCCTGAGGAAGCGCTGGACATTTCTTAAGGTGAAAAAGAAAGCAGCTGTGTCACTTCAGACCAACCCCCCCCCCACCCCCCCAGAACACCCTATTTCTAGAGAGTAAAGTAAAAGTATGTGGGGGGTGGGGAGGAGGCTTTAATTTCAAAGTTCCTTGGTTTCCTAACTTACTTCTCTAGAGGGTACAGTGGTATTGTGAGGGTTCATGTATTAATGTTTGAGATTCTTGGATGGCTGGTACAATCAAAGTAGAAAATAACATTTTTATTAGTATGAAGGGGGAAATGACTTGTACAGTGTGTGTATTTTTTATGCTGGGGAAATAAGAAAATAGAGAAATCAAACATTGTCAAATGATCTGATCAGTCAGTTTGATGTAGTCAAAATAGTTTTCCTTTTTCCTAATCCATGGTTGCATTTTGCTAACATGTTGTTGTCTTTTGTGTTCAGCAGGCACCTCTATCCCAAATTGCCTTTAGTTCTGCCCCCCCTCCTCAGATCTTGTACAATCCAGCCCAGCAGATCCTGACATATGCCGGTTTTTGTCCCTCTGCAGCAGCTCTTCCTGCATATTCATCCTATCCTTTACCTCTTCAGGTAGAGTACACAATGGTATTTTTCTTGTTAATCCTCTTGAAAGCCAGATGCTTCTCTGTCGTATAACTCCTGCACTGCTAAATCTTGTCTGCTGTGGGGTTTTGGGGGAGGTGGAGGGGAAGATGGATTGGTTGCCTAAGACACAGACCCTCCTCTATTTTTACAGAAAAGGTCAGTCCAGATACTGTTTTTAGATCTTCCCCCACAGGTTTCTTCATTGATCATTATTTGTTCCTTGGTAGTGCTTAGGAACCCCAATCAAGGATCAGAGTCTCACGGTATTAGGTGCTGTATAGATAAACAAAGACAATCCTTGCCCTGGAAACTAACTTTAGAGCAGACAGGACACAGTAGGTGGACAAAACAGAGAAGTGGGGAAGTCTGGGAGGATGAGAAGCATAAATGAGACCGGTTTAGCAGAAAAGCAAAACTTCCCACCTCACGACTTGCCTACTCAGTGCTAGATGGGAGTGATTTGTAAGCATGGCAGCAGAGGTAGGTTTTAAGGAAGGATGATAAGGTGAAAGCATTACAGTTTCCCCCCATGCATAGGGAACAGCCTGGGTTAATAATAGCATCAATAGCAGCATGAAGGGCCATTGCTCTATATATGGGGTATTAACTTTGAAGCACGGTTCTTGTGGTCACTAATCCTCTATATTGACTGAAACAAACTGAATCCTAAAATGGCAATTGCCTGAGAATAATTTGAATTTTGAACAAGCATGGAGTGAGGAATTCACTTTGGCGCCTGGACTAGCAAAATTAGCCAAAGAAATCTAATCTGCTCCCCCATCTTTCCGCTGCTACTCTGGCTCCACACACACAAAAAAAAGGTCACCTCATTGTAACTGTTGTGCTTTGAGATGTGATGCAGACATGTACTCCGTGTACAGGTGTGTACACACCCCAGCCACCAGAGCTGGAGAACTTTGCATAGCAGTGCCTGTAGTGGCCGGACTCGCCCCCTGCGGCCACAGCCCCTCCCCAGGCCGTATAAGGGTGGCACTACCCTGGCCCCCTCAGTTCCTTCACCCTCCAATGTCAGGAGTACAGCCTCCGATGCAGAGAAGACCGGGGGCAGGTCGTAGAACAGACATCTGCCTCGCATTGTGAAGAGCAACATTTATGGGTAGGTGACGATTCTTTCTTCTTCAAGTAGCTGCAGCTGGGTATTCCATGTGTGGGTGCTTCCCAAGCAGTGCGGCTCAAGAGTCTTGTCAAGGTTCCTTCCGTACAGATGTGGGGACCCGCATGAAAGCCCCCTAAGCTTATTTACCAGCTTAGGTTATCAGTAAGCTGCCACCACCAAGTGTGTTCCAAATCTTAGGGACGAGCCACTTGGAACTCTGCCTTTCCCCAAATATTTCCCAAGTCTCTAACCCCCCCTTTCCTGGGCAAATTTGAGACTAATTCCTCCCCTCCCCCCCCCAAGTCTTTACACCCCTTTTCCTGGGTGAAAAGAAAGGCTTGAGAGTATACCCTCACCAATTAGTCCTGGTGAACACAGATCCAAAATCCTTGGATCTTAAAACAATGAAAAAATCAATCAGGTTCTTAAAAGAAGAATTGTAATTAAAGAAAAGGTAAAAATCATCTCTATAAAATCAGGATGGAAAATAACTTTACAGGGTAAGCAGATTCAAAGAGCCCAGAGGAACCCCCTCTAGCCTTAGGTTCAAAGTTACAGCAAACAGAGGTAAACCCTCTAGCAAAAGGAACATTTACAAGTTGAGAAAACAAAGATAAAACTAACACGCCTTGCCTGGCTGTTACTTACAAGTTTGAAATATGAGAGACTTGTTCAGAAGATTTGGAGAGCATGGATTGATGTCCGGTCCCTCTTAGTCCCAAGAGCGAACAACCCCCAAAACAAAGAGCACAAACAAAAACCTTCCCCCCACCAAGATTTGAAAGTATATTGTCCCCTTATTGGTCCTGTGGGTCAGGTGTCAGCCAGGTTACCTGAGCTTCTTAACCCTTTACAAGTAAAAGGATTTTGGTGTCTCTGGCCAGGAGGGGTTTTTAAAGTATTGTACACAGGAGGGTTGTTACCCTTCCCTTTATAGTTATGAAATCTATATAAAGGAGGACGGCAGGACCGCCTTCCTGAAGTTTGCATCTGATCTGAACGCAGGCATAATGGCAGAGTGGTTTGCAAAACTATGCACAGAGGACCAAATGGCTGCCCTGCAAGTGTCCAATGTAGGAATGTCATTTAGAAATTCTGTTGACATCGCCGGAGCGCTCATGGAATGAGCTCATAGCTCTCAGCTACTTCATATCCTGTCATGCTACAGGAAGTTATCCACCTGGAGATGGTCTGTGACGAGTCTGCTTGACCCTTCAGTTGTCCACATCTGAAACAAACAGACAAGGTGAGGAACGGAAAGGTTTAGTTCTATCCAGATAAAAAGCTAGACATCGCCTGACATTCAGTGCGTGAAGACGTTGCTTCTCTAGGGTTCAGTGCAGCTTAGGGAAGAACACTGGTAGATATATAACTTGGTTCATGTAAAACTGGGAAACTACCTGAGATAAAAACTTAGGGTCTGGCTGCAAGGTTACTTTGTTTCTGGAAAATGATCCATAAGGAGGTTCTGCCATCAAAGCCTGCAACTCACAGACACTTTGCAGATGTTATCACCACAAGGAAGGCAGATTTCTGACACAGAAGAGGGAAGGAAGAAGTTTCCAGAGGCTCAAACGGAGGTCCCGTAAGAGCCACTAAGACAGTATTAAGTCCCACAAAGGAAATTGCTCTTTAACTGGCGGGTGGAGATGACTGACTCCTTTCAAGCACCTCACTGTATGGGTTTTGAAAACACAGACTTCCATTGATGGGCAGATGAAATGCTGGAATTGCAGCCAGGTGGACTCCCAATTAACTAAGTGCAAGAGCAGAAGACTGAAGGTGTAACAAGTACTCCAAAACGTCCTGGATACAAGGCAGCATCGGTTGAACTCCCCGGGCTAATGACCATACCGAGAATTGCTTCCATTTGGCCGAACAGGAGATTGAGGATAAGTCTCATCCCTCCCTTGGTCTTTGGGACCAGGAAATAGCAGGAGTAGAACCCATGCCCCTGATGTTACAGGGGGACCTCCTGTATTGCCCCCAAAGCCAGTAAAAACGGAACCTGCTCAAGTAGCAGTGTCTCATGAGGGGGTCCCTGAAAAGGGATGTGGTAGTGGGTAGGGAGGAGGGATGGAGAGGAACTGTATGGCATTACCCAGGGGTTCTCAAATAGGGTCGTGACCCCTGAGGGGGTCACATGGTCAGCCTCCACCCCAAACCCCGCTTCTCCTCCAACATTTATAATAGAGTTAAATATCTGTTTTTAATGTATAAGGGGAGGGGGTGTCGCACTCAGAGGCTTCCTGTGTGAAAGGGGTCGCCAATGCATAAGTTTGAGAACCACTGGCATAACCTGACCTGAAGTCCCAAACACTGTAAAAGCAGGCCAACCTGTCCCCGAACAGGGGAGATGGAGGAGAGATTACCACTGGACTGCTGTCCTGGACACACAAATCAAAATGGGTGCTTACTCGGCACCAGGAGGGGTCCAGCTGGTTAAACCCTGAACCACAGGACCTTCTCTTCTGGGATCTGTGGCTCTTTATGGTATAGTCCTGCTGCTGCACAGGAAGGGACGATTGTCCAAAAAAACGCTGAGAGCAGAATTGCTGTTGCGTCCGCTGACCGTTATGGTGGCGTCTCTTAACAACCGGAATATACACTCCCAAAGCCCGCAAAGTATCTCGGGATGCCTCAATGGTCTGCCGCATATGGGGCGCAGTGCCATAATTCTGCAGCTGTAAGGCCCTCCTCATGGTGACAGCTGATACCATAATTCTGGCTGCTGCAATAATGTCTTGGCAACCATGCTCCCTTCCTCAACAACTGCCAAAAAAGCTTTTCCCTGGAGGGTTCTGGCAAGTTGTCTGCAAGCTTACACATGGCTGCCCAATTGACAGAGTCATATTTAGAGACCAAAGCCTGACGGATCCTGATGTTCATTTGATTTATACCTGCCCTGCTGAGCACTGTCATTTGCTGCAGTCACCAGCAGGGAGGTAAGGGCCAGGTGGGAGTAGAAACCCTCACACCCTTGCATTGGAATGAAGTACTTTTTCTCTGATCTCTTTGCCATAGGGGACAATGAAGCTGGGGTATTCCAGAAGGCCTTTGCAGGCTCCTTGAGAGCTTCATTTAGCAGGAAGGCTACTCTCCCTGGAGCTGATGATTGGAGAATATCCAGCAGCTTGTGTGTGCTCTCCGGCAGGAATTCTGCCTGGATACCTGAGGTGTATGGCTGCTATCTTGGGAGGTCCTCATATGCCTTAAACTAAGTCCTCGTACACTGAGGGAGAGGAAGATTCCAGCACAATAGATTCATCCGGGGAGGACGAGGAGGCGGTTTGCTGCACCAATGATGGATTCTATTCTTGCACCACAGGATCTGGTTGGAAGAGGTCCATAGGTCCCAGGGGATAAGGGAATGGACTCAGCGGTCAATTGCAGCTGAGACGGTATGGGAGCAGGAGTGACTGTCGGGAACAGTGATCGTGCTCTAGAGTGTGACCTCAGGACCGAGGCACATCTCAGAGATTCTAAGGAAGCCACTGGGCATACGCATAAGGCATTGGTGGCCAGCAAGCATTGGGACAAGAACCACTGTCCTGACTGTGGAGTAGATGCCGATCTCAGTGCGAATAATGATCTGAGGGTGATCTCTGATGCCTATCCGAGGACAACCCTGACCTTGAGGAATTCTGGAGGTTCTGTGGTGACAATATGGGAGCCAGCCCCGATGGGGCAAAGAACCACTCAGACTCATTTGAAGCCCAATCAGGAGGCAGCATCAGTGCTGAAGAGGAGTGGGGAATCAGCACCAGTGGCACTGAATGGGACATGCTCCTACTTGGTACTGGGAGAGGCGCTGGCACTGCACTCAATGATGGGATCTGCCACCAAGACAATGATGGGGCTGAAGGAT